TAAAGACAGCATCAAGACGTCTGCTGCCTATGTCCTTTTCTATAGAAGAGTTCCAGATGTGTAAATTAGACATAGCAGTGGCAAACTCATTGCAACGTGAAACCTGGGGAGCACAGTGCCTTTTGAAACCCCAACTAGGTTTTGACAAAAGAGCAATACTGCTGACTACCATTTGCAAGCTTACATTTTATTTGCCAAAATATTGTTTTGCTTAGAGTCTACTGTTGGAGGTAGCACATGATTTTGCAGTTGTACAGTTCAAAAGGTTATCAGTGAAAGCAGGAGACATTACAATGTTCACATACAATTTACTTGTGTATGCAGGTTTCACCAGATGAAAGAATTATAGATATATTCAGAAACCTTGTCAATTTCTTGGAATGAGCAGTTTTTCTTCCTATCATTTTTAAATAATAATAATTAATCACTCTCGGTAATTATAGATATTCAAATCCCCCCTTTTGCTTCAGCCTCCATGTAAATTTTGTTTCATGAAGACTTTGCTGTTGTACAGTTTGAGCAGGTTATCAGGACTAATAATTAATCACTACAGCTATGTTATAGGGGGTTTACTTGCTGTTTATATCCTCAAGGTGAGTTTTTATTCCATTAATTTGGTTTTTTTTTTTTATTTTTTAGCTGGTCTACAATATTCTTAGTGTCTGCATATGCTGAAAGGAATTTTGTCATTTTGGTAAATATATATTTCTGTCTGAGGAAAATATTTCTTGCGTATGTTAATATGTTCAATTATTATAGTATCATTTTCTCAGGGTGAATGGAAATTTTGTTTAATAATTTTTATAGTTGTAGCTTGTGGCAGTCTCAATTTTTCAGGAATCTTTAGGCATAGAAATTAGAGTGCTATCTTTTCAAGTTCGAAGAAAAAAAATGTGTATTTGGAGATTGTGGATAGCTAATTGAAATTCGTGGCCCAACTTGCAACTCTCCTCTCAGCCCAACAACTTTTTTTTTTTCCTCCTCAACAAAATTAACTCTCGTTTCGACCAACGAATTTTTTTTTTCCCTATAAATTAGAAGGGAATAAAATTTGACAATGATGATATTGAGATATTTATAACTGGTTTTCCTTGAATTTTATAATTGGAATATAGTATTACATATTTTTTGGTAGAATGAATATAATATTACATATAATTAAAGAAACAATGTATATTAGTACTACCTCTTAAAATTTTAGAAGATTTGAAAATAAAAGTCTCCATTTTATTTTTACCTTTTTGCTTCAATTTAGTAATAGGGATACTATTTAATTTAATATAGTTATGTTTTTGTTTTTTCTAATCTTCGAGGAAGGTGATTTTGAGATTTAACACTTTAAGTACTTATAAAACTCCAACCAAACAAAAACAAACAATCATAAAAAAATTATATATCAAAGTAATTTTCTAAGTTTGATTCAGTTTTTGCCTTTATAATAGAAAAAATCTTTACAATGATTTAAGTTAAATGTATGTATCTTTAAAATTGATCACAGAGAATATATGTTAAGTTGAAGGTGCATGGGCTACAATGAAAAGTTTCTTCTCCGTTTTTTATGTACTCTTTTGAGTTTTGATATAAGATTACTGCAAAGAGTCATTCTTTCTTTGTTTCTTCTTTATGTGTGTATGTATATGTATGAGTTTGTATTGTGTAACAAAAACATTGGTGGATGGAGGTATGTATGCATTTCCTTTACCTTCATTAGCTTTGTCCATGAGTAAAAAGTTAATCAATTAATAAACACATCAACAAAATCAAGACACTGAATTTCTTAAGGTGAAAAACCCATAAGGAAAAAATCACGAAACCTCAAAAAACTTCCACTATTGAAATAGTAACAATAGTAAAATTATAAGGTTTCTTCTCTTTCTAGACAAGACTAGAGGTTCTTAACAATAATAAATCACAACATCACAATCATCACGCCAAGATAAAGTTGGATAGCAAATCTTAAAAAATGCAGCTTGAAATGGATAGATTACAAGATCATTGAATTCAACAAAGGTCATATATGCTTTCAATCAACTCCTCATTGTTTCAAAACTCACTTGCCAGGCAAGAAAGAAGGAACAATTGAGTATGTCCTTCCCAATTAGCACCTCATTGTTTAAAAATCTCCTAATTCTTCATAATGGAAAATGTGAGGTCCTGCAGAATTAAAATTCAGATTTAAAATTCAGATTCAT